CCCCACCTGGCGCTAGGCCCCACTCTGGGCCGGATGGCCCCGGCAGCCCTGCTGGCGGCGCCTCCCCTCTGAAGCTCCCCCACTTTAAAGACCTGGTTCGCTGCGGAGAAATCAGAACACAGAGGGAGATGAAAATGGTAAAAATGAAAGAGGAAATTGCTCTTCCAGGCCGGGCGCCGCGGCTCGCGCCTGTCATCCCCGCGCTTTGGGAGACCGGGGCGGGAGGATGGCTTGAGGCCAGGCGTCGGAGGCTGTGGTGAGCTGTGATCACACCAGCGCGCTCAGCCTGGGCCGCAGAGCAAGGGCTCAGAGAGAAGCGGCTCTTCCCACGGCCGTCGGAAGACGTGACTTCGAGGCGTGGCACTGCGGCCTCGGCCTGCAGCGCTGTGCCTGCGGCTGGCGGTCAAGCGTCTCTCGGGGTGGCCGGCCTGCCTGGGGCCTCAGGGCGGGGACTTGGCATCTGCTCCCGGACTGCTGGGGTGAGTGCCCTCAAGGGGCCGCCATCACCGTGCCGCGGGTCCCCAGTCGCGCGTGACAGGCAGCGTGTGGTGTAGGCAGGGCGTGGTGGTCCCCCACCGGGCACTGGGTCTCTGACCGCCCCCGACCCGGACGTGGGCACGGTGTTGAAGATGCCTCAACTCTGCGCTGCGCCGACCTCTGTGTCTGAGGCTGCCTTCTCCCGTCTGTGAAATGGGCGTGCCAACACGTTTCTCATGGCGCTGTCGGGGTTTGAGGAGAGGAAGGTGGGAAAGGGAGCGGTGGTCTCTGGGAGTGTGAGAGCCGGGGAGCACGTGTTGGAGACTGAGTGAAAGCTGGAAGCGTTTACCCGCAGACAGCTGTGCCTCCCGGGCGTCCGCTCCAGGGGTGGCCTTGACGAGCAGCAGGTGGCAGCGCTGTGTCTGCTAGCTGGTGCTGCGAAACAAGCGGTCCCCGGCTTAGTGGCTCAGCCCTAAGTTTGGGAGTGGCTGAACTGGGAGGTCCTGGCCCAGGGGCTGTGACAAGGCTGTCATCGTGGCGGCTCACGCCTAGAATTCCAGCACTTTGGGAGGGTGAGGCTCCGGATTGCTTGAGCTCAAGAGTTTGAGACCAGTCTGGGCAACACAGTGAGACCTGATCTCTAAAAAAAAAAAAAAAAATTAGCTGGATGTGGTGGCGCACACCTGTAGTCCCAGCTACTCAAGAGGCTGAGATGGAAGGATGGCCTGAGTCCAGGAGGTCGAGGCCGTGGTGAGCTGTGATCGTGCCACTGTACTGTGTGTAGCCCCGGCAACAGAGTGAGACCCTGACTCCAATAAAGGAGATGTTGGCGAGGCTGAGGTCTCCCCGGGGGGCTGCCAGGGGCTCCGTTCCTCCCCACACAGGCTCTCCCGAAGGCTCCTGGAGCGTCCCGGCCGGAGGAAGCCGCCTGCCTTTGGCCATCGCGCCTCGGAAGTGAGTCTGCCTCTCGGTCTGGCTCACGCCCGGGGACGGGGAGTAGTCGCCACCTCTGGAAGGGACGCGTGACAGCCTTTGGATACGTGGTTCAAGCATGACTGTCCAGGGTGGCTCAGCAGTAGAAGAGTTGCCATGCCGTGGTCGGGCCGTGGACGGGGCAGGGGTGTAGCAGCCGTGGGAGCGAGGCCTGGGCCCAGTGAGCAAGGCTCCACTCCTAGATGTGCTGCTTGGCTGACTGCGTGACCTGTGAACATCTGGTCTCAGTTTCTCCATCTGCACTCTGGGCCCGCTGGAGCTGAGGACTCTGAGGGGGGTCAGACATGGCTGCTGTGGCCTCCCCTGGTAGGGGGTGTGGAGGGGGGCTTTTGGAACGATCTTACTCCATAACACGTAAGAGACAGAGTCTCACTATGCTGCCCAGACTGGTCTCCGACTCCTGGCCTCAAGCCGTCCTCTCGCCTCGGCCTCCCAGAGTGCTGGGATTGCCAGCATGAGCCACCGTGCCTGGCAGGAGGCTGTCTTGAGACGTGACCCGTTCGATCTGCGTGGCCTTCCAGGACTGCGAGGTGTCGAGGAGTGGGGGTGGTCTCTGTCCCCAGCACCCCTGCCCACATACTTTGACTTCCGGGCGGCCACAGTAATGACCACCAGGCCCTGGGCCACGGTGCCCGCCGTGGGTCTCCACGGGGACCTTGTGCTTCTGGGCGGCCCCCACCACCTCCCGTCAGCCTGCCCGGTGTGGGCGTGAGGGTGCTTCGGAAAGAGGTCGGGCCGGGGTCTTCTGGGCCCTTCGTGGCGGCTCCGTGTGGGAGGGGTAACGTCCTGGGGTCACGGGGCGGCCCTGAGAAAGGCGGATTCCCGAGTGGGGGACAGCGGGGGCTCTCGGCCCCGCCCCTGCGGGGCCCCAGGCTGTGTCCTCATCGACCGACGACCGTGGGTGGTGATCGGAAGCCCCTGGCGCCAGGTTCCCCCGTTCGCCGTCAGGGTCTGGCCGTGTGAAGCCGACTTCCTCCTGCTTTGCGGGGAACCCGGAGGCCCGCAGAGGCCGAGTGAGTTGCCCACGGTCACTCAGTGGAGAGCTGCAGAGCCAGGACACGGGCTGAGGCACAGGGCAGCCCCACTTGCCCCATCCGGGTGCCTGCAGGGGGCGCAGGCAGAGGCCAGGCCAGCCTCTGGGGCTGCGTGGCTGGTGGGCCGGGGCTGGCAAGGACGGGGCCTGGCCGGAGACGTGGGCCTTCTGACGTCGGTGCCTCCCGCGGTCTCGGGTCTCCGCGCCAGGCTGGAGGGCTGTGGAGAGGGTGGGGGTGCAGCCTCCCGGCCCCCCGAGCCTCTCCAGGAGGAGCCGGGGGGCACACGTAGCCGTCAGCCCCCTGGCCGGTGAGGCCCACCGCGGTGACGCCATGTGGCCTGCAGCAGCTGCGAGCTGGCTTGCCCGTCGCGGGTGTCCTTTGTCCCGAGTCCCCAGCCCTCACCAGGGAGAATGGCGCTCCCTGAGCTTGCTCCTGCGTTCTCTTTTATCTGTAGGACCCCTTAGCAGCCGCCCAGGCTGGCCCTCGGGGTATGCACCCAGGGCCCGTGGCAGCTGCTGGCTGGTCCGTGGGGCGGCAGGTGGGCAGAGGAGGTCTCCAGTCCAGGCCCTGCCTCATCTGGTCACTGTAGAGCCCCTGGCCTCCCTCCCGCATCCCCGCCCCATCGACAACTCACGTCTCGGCGTTCTTTGGCCTCCCGGCTGCTCACTATGGCCCCTTTCCCAGGCGTCCACCAGGGTTTCGGAGGCTCGTGTCCTTCCTGCGTGTGACCCTGGCCTGCCCCGAGATGCACAGGGTGGGTGGGCAGGACCCAGCCTGGGTCGCGTGGGCCGGGGAGGTGAACGGGAAACTCGCTTCCAGTGTGTCCAGGCTCCCGCCGGGTGGGAGGAAGCAGCCCCTGGGGGTCAGGGCTGTGCGGAAGGGGCCGTGTCACCCGCGCAGGGTGATGGCCACCCCTGACGGTACACCAGCACTCAGGCCTACTGCCGCTGCCGTGGCAGGAAGAGCCAGGTCAGCCATCGTTGGCATGAGCTTGGCCCTGAGAAGGACAGAGGGTGCCGAGCCTTGGCGGTCTGGGTGTGCGGGTCTTTTTTTAGTCTCTTGGGGCTGACTCTGTGCCTGGGAGGGCCCGGGGTGGGGTCTGCTGGCAGCCATGCTGCTCCTTCCGCTCCTATCTACCTGCCTGTGTGGCCCGTCCAGGGGCCCTGGGTGGCTGGAGGCCAGGGTCTCCACTGCTTGCCCTTGTGGGTTTGTCCGTGTCTGAACCTTAGTTTCCTTTCCTGTAACATGAGGCAGGGCTAGCGCCAGCCCACGAAAAACATAGCTACAGGCGCCCTGTCTCTGTCCTGGTGGGCCCTACGCTTTCTGCCAGCACCCTCTGTTCTGCGAACACGGGCTCCGTGCCACCTTGCACCGTGCCTCAGTCTCCCCACGCCATCTGATGATCTCAGTCTGTCGCGGCGTGCCCTGAGGGGTGGCGGATCGTGCCAGCCCCGGCCATGCAGCACCCAGGTCCCCGCGGGTGTGGGCCGGGCTCAGGGCTCCGGGTCTGTCCTCTGCGTGGCGCCGGTTCTGCCCTGCCCTACCGGGCACCCCCTCTTCACCTGCCGCGCCGGCCGGCCGTGCCCAGCTTGGTGCCGGCGCTTGCTCTCGGTGACCTCTGGTTCTTCTCTTCCTGTTTCAGGCATGAGCCATGAGCCCAAGTCCCCTTCGCTAGGGATGCTCTCCACCACGACCAGGACCACCGCCACCGTCAACCCCCTCACCCCCTCGCCGCTCAATGGCGCCCTGGTGCCCAGCGGCAGCCCCGCCACCAGCAGCGCGCTGCCCGCCCAGGCCGCGCCGTCCTCCAGCTTTGCTGCCGCCCTGCGCAAGCTCGCCAAGCAGGCGGAGGAGCCCAGAGGTAAGAGGCCCGCGGGGGCGCCTCCCCCACCGAGCAGGTGCGCCCCAGGCCGGAGGGCCCTGGCATGGCCCCCGCCACGGTGGCCTCCCTCGTGCCAGTCCTCCCGCTGGTTGGCGTGGCCCGGCCCGGCCGCTGCTTGGCTTCTCTGCTTCCCTGTCTCTCCTGCTTCCGTCCTCGGCTCCGGAGGCCACCGTGGGGGCGTCCGATGGTGGGGAGGCCCCGTGGCCCAGTCGGGAGGAGGGTGGGTGTCCCGGCCCCGGGAGCCCCGCGAGGCTGCGTGGGGAGAGCTGCGCCCTCCGCCCTCGCCCTCGCCCGC